TAGCCCGCTTTATTTATTTATATTTATTTATTTACCTAAAGAGTGGACCCGGAGTCTTTGAGCATGTTAGACAAGCCTTCTACCGCTCAACTATAATCCCCAGACCTCTCTTTTTCTTTTCTTTTTCTCTGTTTATTTTGAGATAAAGTCTGGCTAGATTTAGATTGCCCAGGAAGGTCTGGAATTGATCCCATAACCCAGGCTGTCTTTGAATTTGGTGACCTTCCTGCCTCAGCCTCCCAGGTAGCTGGGATTACAGGACTGCACTATCAACCCTCTTATCACACAAGCTTTTTGTTTGCCAGCCCTTGATGCAGCTGTGGCCTTAATACCACAGTGTGGTTAGGTTGACTCTGTGTTGTTTTTGGTGCTCCACCCCCCAGTGCCAGGACCATGCCCTCGGGGAGAAAGGTGGTCATGACAGGGATGGAGTAGCAGTGGTAGAAACACTCTTTCTTTTTTCCTACAGCTGAAGTGTCATGCCTACTCTGTGGCCACCTTCCTCTCAGCTCCATGGCTCTGCCTCAGACAGTGTGTCCTCCCCACGGCAAAAGTCTGTGGGAAGTACACAGATGGCCTCTTCTCCTTGCTCCTCCAGCAGCCTACCCTGTGAGGACAGGAACTCACAGGATCCTGTAGAGTGGTGAGCACAGTTGGTGACAGAGAGGTTGTTGCGTTTCGGGGCCCTTTCAGTATCTTCAACAACTATCCTCTCTGTTGTTTTCCTATCTTGGTTATAGTATGTGTGGGGCTGTATGAAAATATCAGAAATGCTGTACTGAAAGCTGGATGTGGTGGAACACACCTGTAATCCCACAACTTGGCCTATGGAGGCAGGAGGATCAAGAGGTTAATGACAGCTGCATAGTGAGTTCAAGCTAGCCAGGAATGCATGAGACTCTGCTTTACAACAATAAATAAAAATAAACTAAACAATCAAAAAATGGAAGGCAGGGAAGGGAGAAGTCAGGAGGGGAAATGCTGTACAAGTTCAGTTTGGAGACTCCTCTCAGCTCTGCTGTTTCTTGGCTGTCTTACATCTTATAAACATCAAGAATGCTAAGTTCAGAGGGCCATCCTGGGCTACATAGCAAGACCCTGAAAAAAAAACGAATAGAGTGCACGTCTAGTTTTGAATTCATCTTGCTACCTAAGCCTATCTTGAACATGTAACAGTGCTTAGCACATAACAGTTGCTAGTGACATCAGGGACAGAGAGTGTATAAATAAAGAGCGCTTTATTTGTTGCTTGAAAATTTGTAGATGTATTTTAGTTGGTATCTTGTGGTTCTGTTTGAGATTTTAAAAACAGATCCATGATCCTTATAGCTTTATGAGTTTATTCTGTGAAGATTATAACAGCATATCATGTTTTTGTAATTTTTCTAGGAGAAAATAATCTCACATACCATTATCTTTATCCCATTTGTTTTAATTGGCTGTCTCTGAATCATTTCTGTTTCTGCCAGTGCTATTATTGAGGACTAGATTATATTAACGCTATGAACTTGAGTCACTAAGGTTATATTTCAAGGGTGAACTATAACCCCAGGTACACACCCGTCTACTTATGTATGAGTGATAAGTCACTCCTCAGCCATGTTGGTTTTTCTGCACACAGAGTAGTAGTCTGAACATGCCTGTGAATACCTGTTGTCTAGTTCACCCATTTCAGTTCCTCATTCTTAAAAAAGTGTAAGTACATTTATTTAGGTGTATATGGCATATGTGTATGCTACAGACATATACATGGAGGTCAGAGGATAACTTTCAGGAGTCATGTTCTCTCTGTCCACCACGGGGTCCCGGTAGTGGGCCTCTGGCTTTGGTGCTCTTACTTGCTGAGCTGTCTCACCAGCTTTCAGTTCCTCATTTTTCATCTCTACTGCTTTGAAGTGATTTTTCTTGCCCCTTATCTTTTAAAATTTGAATGTTTTTCTTATGTAGATGTGGCACAATTAGAGATAAATAGAAAAGAGTTATAGTTAACTCTTTATGTGGAAGGAATGGAGTGGTACAAGGGAAATCATCCTCTCTCAATAGGGATAGTCCCTCTGTGTCAACTAATGAAGACAGTGACTTTGAAGACAACTCAAGGCGCAATGCGAAGAAGAGGGCAGCCAAACGACCACCCAGAGCTGCCCCAGTGAGTCCATTTTATTTAATTTAGAAACTGGTTGGGGAATCAGCAAAGAAAAGTCTGAAAGGGACTTAGGTGATGGGATGGAATAAAAGATAACATTAGGATGGAGAAGTGCCAGAATTCTTTAAAAAGAAAAAAGGTTAGTAATAACAAATTTCACAAGAATAAAAAAATCAGTTAAAATCTGAAACAATAATGGAAGCATAGCTGTGGAATTGGCAGCTTAAGGCTGCTTAAGATGACAATGATGAAATCAAATGTTAGTGTCATTCTGACAGCTTTTGTACCTCTAATATTTCTTTCTACACGTAATAGGTGGCAAAACGTCGGAAGAAGCGGTCCCGAATAGTACCTAGTGGGCATAGCAAGAATGAATCAGTGCTGCTCACCAGTGACCTCTTTGATGCTGTAAAAGCTGCCAAAAGTGACATGCAGGTAAAGAAGTGGCTCGCCTCTGCTCCTATTCCTCTGACATCAATAAAGAATTTAATTATATTTTTTTAAATTGCATTGTCTAGAAAATTTTTGCAAGTTTATATTTATAAAAGTTGAACTGTTGAAACTTATTTGCTGAAATTTTTGACTTGTGTTAATGCTTTACAGTTTCCATTTATATTAAAAATTTACACACAAGTGAAAATGGAAATCAACTACCAATACCTGATTTCTATCTCCCATTTTTTTACTTGCAATCATATACTTTTTGACAACATGGGGAAAAATATGTAGCATAGAACTATTGATAAGAGGAAGAAGACTGGAAAATTCCTTTTTGGGAATGAAATGTTTCCCCTCAAAGTGGATTTGTCAGTGTGTTTTCCATGTATAAGTCATACTACTGGATGTTTTTAGGTATAATTGTTACACATTTGGCATAGATAGCACACAGGTTGGTATCTTCAAAAATGCCAACCAGATAGGTCTCTGTTGCCTCCTTCAAAGCACCGATATACTCTGACCAGACACTTGAAAGGGAGTTTTTGTGAATCAGAAATTCAGTGGACTTGTGATACTTTTACAGAGAGCCACAGCATCAGGCCTGTAGTGATGAGCTAGATTTTTTAACCCCACCAGTAGAGGGCAGTTTCTGGCTAACAGTTAGAGCTGGTTGCTTTACCGTCTGTGGAATTTCAGATGGTCTGTTTTATACAGGCCGTGCTATTGAGACCTTGCTGACCCTCCTTCAGCTTTAGCTCAGTGAGAAAGAGGCTGCGCTGGCTTGAGAGAGTGGCAACTGCATACTTCATCTCTGTGTTGTTTGAGACAGGGTTTCTTAATGTATCCCGAGCTGGCCTGGAACTCAGTATACAGGTCGGGCTTGTCTCAATTCACAGAGATCTGCCTGTCTTTGCCTCACACTGCTGGGATTAAAGGCGTGAGCCAAAATATCAGACTCACTGATTCTTTGTAGGGTAAGAAGACAATAAGGATCAGAATCTCCCAATTTAATTTGTGGTTGACATTTTATTTGGCATACCTAGACCAATAAAGATAAGACAGAGGAGTATGAATCACTACAGTGATAGTAAGAGAGCCCTCAGAGGAGAGTATTCCTTTTCTAAGTGTCACAGAACAGGAGCAATTCTGCCTTTCTAGAAGACACAGGAAAGTCACTGGTTGATGCAGAAAGAAGCCTAGATATGTTGCTTCTTAAGCAGTTATATTAAATATTTCTCTGTCCCCACATTTTTTTGTTTATTTTTTTAAGATTCTGCCACTGATATGCAAATTTTATTAAAACAAATTTTACCTATAAATATGAGATAATTTGTAATCCAATCGTGATTTGCTTGAATAACAGTTGAATTTTTACATTAAAAAACTGCACAACTTCAACTAAGGGACAAATAAAACATTCAGACTTGAGTTTACA